GTCCCTTAAGTACACATATATACATATCATATAAACTTGATGTTATTATATATTTGAATAAATTGAAACAATTCAGCAAAATCCTTTCATATTATTTGCATGATTTATGAATATAGAGTACAGCTCAGGTCTTCTTAGCATAAAATTATCAATTGACAATGCAGTTTTCATCATTTTATGAAAACACATGTTCATCTTTTGTTTTTAATTTACCTTTTGTGATCAACACATGTAAACACAGATTGATACTTACGATTACTGTCCAATGCAGTAACTTGTTCTTTATGTCCCTTCAATACTGGTATAACCGTGTATTTACCAGTTATCCAATTATTATCTAGATGATGAGCTCTCATGTAAACATCTTTCCATTTACAAACCGGTGTCAGATTACTTGGTGTATCTGGTGCAATGTACCGAGGTGAAGTGGCCGTAGTACCAGCATTTGGTGAAAACGGTCTCTCTATCATCAAATCACTGCCATATGATGACCATCCTTTGCTGATACACAAATTCTGCCTGTGTTGTGAAAGAAAATGAATACTGTATTTGCCCTATTAGAAGTGTATCTCCAATAGATAAACATAAAAATCAATAACAAATATGTGACTGTTTTGACCATTGACATACCTTTGTCATTTGCATAAGCATATGCACTACTAATAGAGCTATTATGGTAGCATCCTTACTAAACACCTTACTCAGTACAATTCTTTTAATCATGGGTTGTGCAATTATATATTCACAGTGACTTTCACAACTAACATTTGAATTTGGTGATTAAACCATATATTTCAGTGTTCAGTAAAAACTCATTATGGACATATTCAAAAGTTTTTTAGTTACAAATATAGTTGAAACTGTGTTTAATAGTGTGACCAGCTCTATTAGTACATGAGCCATGTTCATTTTGTACCAACTATAGGTATTAAGGATGTGTGGTATCATTGGGAATAACTTTTGTTAGTATTTTTTCAGAAATGAGTGCTAGACTGGTTGAATCAGTAGTTTAATCAAAATTTGGAGGGGGCAAAGTTCACCCTGTTATTATGAATAGTAATTTTAGCAGTAATGTGGATGGTAATTTATGAACAGTAATATTTATAAATATATGATTCAGCACAACAACAACAACAACGGCCAACTTGGTCAATAAACTATACAGTTTGTCTTCTGTATGTGACACACTAGCAATTAATATCATAAAAGTAATATTAATATCCTAGAAGTAATATTAATATCCTAGAAGTAATATACATATATTAATAGGATTCAACAATTGTCTTACTGTACTGGATATCTTGCAGAAAAACGTACCTGTTATTATGGCAACACATTACTTTAAATACCAAGGTATTTCAAAGTAGGAAAGTATGTTTTATTACTTTATCTGTGCTATCTTAATTTTTACTATTATAAAGCATTATAGACAGTGATATCTGAGCAAATTGTTTTGGCAGGTGGTATAACGATAAACCAGACATAGAGAACATGTGACACTTACCATATAGGATCATGATTGGATCTCTCTCTCCATAATTTATTACAACATGCTATTTTACACAGATCACTGGGTGATAAATAATAGAATATCCTCTCAGTAAGTTCTCTGGGTAGGTAGGCTACAAAATCAACTGCTAGCAGCGGCTTAAGTTCAGCATATAAGAATCTTAGCTGTAGCGGCTGCCAAGAAATAAATTATAGTATTGAATTTCATAAAGGCGAGAAAATTTATGGGAATTTATAAAATATTTATTAACTGCCTGTTGGAATTACAATTAGTTTGTATGGTGTTGCTACATCATATTGAATAGAAATTAATGTTAACGAATTAGCTAAACATCAACAAACATAGAAATGCTTTAATATGAAAAAGAGGTTGGTCATGAACACTACGTCATATCTATACTAGCTAGTATACGATTAGGCAGGTGCACCACAGTATGAGTGTAGACAACGTTTGAATTGAATGAAAAATGAGGATCTGTATTTACAAATATATAAAAATGTATCTATAAACAAAAGTACAGGTTTCTGCCATACACTGTATGAAAGATTTAATATTTTTTACTTATTAGTTAACTTAATTTCACAACATACTCACCTGGCACTTGAGGAGCAGTCTTATCAGTATCTCATTCTGTTGGTCTCGATTACAACTTTCAAAAGTTGTGAGAACAGTCTTGGATTTATCTTCAAATGACTTGGGCATGATGGTGTGTTGATGGGCATTGATACATCATTATTGGTCAAACATTCTGAAGTCAAATAAATTTTATCAATCATTGTCTAAACTCTGTACATACCACACTTTCAAATCTTTACAGAAAACAGAAAAATAAGTTGCGTCCTTCTGACTTTCTTTATGTTTTGCACATGTAGATTCCATTTTGCCAGCTGTAAATCTCAGTTGACCCACCCCTATCAAACAAAAAAAGTGGGTGACCCCCCCCCCCAACATTATATTTTAATTAAAACATGCTGCCCCCCCCCCCCCCCAAAAAAAAAAAAAAAAAAAAAAAAAAAAAAGAAACATTAACAGTTTTGGCTCTGACATGATTACAAAATATATTATATGTGCATTGAAAATATCATGGTTTGCCATAATTTTTAATGTTTGCATTTAATAGTCCATAGGAGGGGAGGGGAAGCATAAAGCCAAAAAACGACTACAGAAAAGGCTGCAGGGAAGAGGAAAATCTATGCTGCTAAAGATAGTAAATAAAAGCAAAGCTGTGGAGTACTCACTTGATAAACGCCCTTATAAGATAGGAAAAGAAGATTTGAATCTAGACGGTTTGAACTCTTTGAAAACTAATTTGGATTTAAAATATCTTTCATAACTTATAGACCAGGAATGCTTTACACCCGAAGCGCAGTCTGTGCTTATGAAAACAAAGGAAACTTTTTTTGCTTAAATTTGTGTTGGATTTTGGTATTTTACAAAGCAAAATATGCATATTTAAAAGTTAAAAAAAAAAAAAGTATTTATTTATTTTTTCATCATTTATTTTAATTTATATATCAGCATTTTCACAAATTTGATTTTTTTTGATTTGCTGAACAAAAACTGTCACTGCTTTTTGTACTAATTGCTGTGCTGTCTTTCCGTCTCTTGTTATAATTGGATAAATTCAGTAAATATCTTATACAATAGTGACTTCAGACTTTAAATAAAATAATCTGATATCAGCAGCACATGGACTTAGGATGTGTTTAAAACTTAACTGTATAATTAGGGTTCTAGTCGCATTGCATAATCTGTTAGTTATTTGGCAACTACAACCCAAAAATATTTAGCCTATAACATTTTTTCATCAAACAATTTATAGGCAATATAGGTAATAGTTATTATTAAGAACACATTTGTACGATTAACATTCTTATGATTTGTTATGAAATATTTTTTTTTAAATATATGCATAAGTGCGTGTGTGAATTCTGGAAAACATGATGACCCCCTATTCATGATATCAAAAACAGGGTGATCCCCCCCTATTCACAAAATCAAAAACAGGGTAACCCCCCTACTGATCCACTGACCCCCCTAGGCCGAAGTAACTGACCAATCCTTAAATATTGAGAAAGATAGATATTTGACAAAATTAGTTTTCCAGAGTTTGAAAAACTTAATGAAGAATGTAAGTTCATATACTAGTATTTATTAAGTGCTTTAGACACTTATTCTGTTTTACCTTTTTCCAAATATGTATATTCTATTTTAAAAGTAGTTGATAGTTACATTTATGTATAGTTTTGTTTAGTGATCATACTGCTGTATGGAGCATATAGTGTTGTGTCAATAAATTATTGTCATATCAAAATATTGAAAAAGTGAGTAATAATTGTATATAAAAGAATATAACTTTTATTGAAGATGTTGATTTTTGCCATCTGACCATTACGAAAACAATATTTGCCAGTGTGGTTTTATTGTAATCCAAAACATAGTAAATTTATATTATTATTATTAAAAAAAAAGTTGATCGTTGAATTATTGAACAATTTACTTAGCAGCTTTTATTTTCTTTGCAATGAGAGTTATAAATTATATAATTGTGCCAGCATATTTGTGAGAAACAAACTATAGTTTTGAAGCTTAAAAATATATCGTGAGCCACTAACACTTGCACGAGTGTCTAAACTGTACTGACCCACTGTAATGAACACTGGAATGCGATAATTACACAGAGCATTGATATTTATCTTAACCTCAACCCATTTATGGACAAATTTAATATTAGTAAATATTATTATTATGTAAATCTCACCTTTGAAGAACATGTCACAATAAAATCATCGTAAATTGAGAAGTTTAACCGTAGTTTTAGAGGAAATGCACAAACATTAGCAGGTGAACACAGCAGCCGATGCCATCTTGACCTTACAAATGCCTTCTAAATGACCTCAAATATTTGTCATTGAGGGCGCTCATCAGTAAACAATATGGCTGCGCCCTTGGTCGAATAAGCATGGCCATTTTGTAATACCAAGATTACACATTTTTGGACATATTTTACGTCGGCACGGATATTCTTTGTATAGATTACATTACCTGTAACACAGATAGTGGATATGGAAAAAAACAGCACAACTAACAAATCTGTAAATTCAAGGTAAATTCAAATTCAATGTACTAGTGGTGTTGAGGGGCTGTGACTAGTATAGTAAATGGATCGATCATGGAGGTAAAAAGAGTATTTGGAATTTTGAAAATCAGAGAATTTCTTGTTAAGTTTATGTAATTTTTCGTTTTTCAGCACATTTTCCGTTGTATTTTTGAATCAGCAATCTTGTAATGTTTCGAAACTTTGATAGTACTGTTTTTAGTCCACAATCACAGGGAGCCCAGGAACTATAATCAACTGTAGTACGCAGTCTCTATGAGCGGGGGGGGGGGGGGTATCTGCTGGTATCTAGTGTAAAGAAATAGACAAGGGATGAAGGCTCCAGCCAGCTCCCATTTTTTAAACTCGAAAAAACGGACGAAAAGAATGAAAAATAAAATCTAAAAAAAATACCAGGTTGAAGAATATTAGTTGCTCCTTCAAATTTCGCCAAAGCCTTACCTAACATTTTACCGATATCTGCAAGAATAAAGTCAGAAAACTA